ATAAGACATACAAATAAGTTCCTCAACAAACTCAGACTTTGACCAAAAAAAAAAAAACACAAACTCAGACTACATAAACTATTTCGAAAATCACTAATAACAAATCAGATAGGGACTATAGAGTATATATAGAATTTCATATTATGACGAGTAATTCTTTGGTATTTGGCTAATATTGTCAGCATATTCGGCCTATGTGCTAGTCAAGGACTAATTCACATTCTATTCATGAAAATTTAGGAGCTCTTCAAACCCCCGGCGCGCGGGGGCAGCGCACGGTTGAGGGTAGAATATGATATGGATGTAAAAATTTACATGATCCAAGTCCTCAAATGACAATTTGATCGAACTAAAAAAAAAGAGATTGTACTCAATGCACAACTCTCCCGTACGTCCGTACGTGTAATGCAAAATCTTAGAGAAGTGAGTTGTAAATAGTATATAAATCAGCCTCATCAATGAGTTAACACAGCAAGCCTTCCCAGTTTCTCATTAAACATGACATGTAACTGGCCAAGAGTTCTAACAGCAATAATCTAAAGACCAGAAAAGTTCTATATGGTATCACATTCTTCACGAGGAAGTTACCATGTAGCTAATTATGGTCTATATTTAAAAAAAAAAAAACTGTTCTCCACACAAATCCATAAACTACCATGTTTATAACTTGAAGTGAAAGCATAAATGGTTGCACAGATTGTCTATTTATAGTGAGGGTACCAAGTACATGAAGTATGATCAATGTTATTCGTATCATGGATCGAGTTAGCATGTTATACAGTGTACACATACATATTTTCTTTGATAGTGGTGCAATGAGAGTACACAATGGAGTTACATACACTATTTTGGGTCACGGCTCACTTATTTGTTTTTATCAAGATCGGTGTTTCTTGTGATTCGTGTGTTCAATGAACAATTAACGAAACAGAATAATAAAAGAATACAAGAATTTATTTGGTTCAACAATTTGTTTACGACCACGATCCTGGAGCGGTTGCCTTGTTTTTTTTATTTTTATTTTTATTCCACATTGAATTAAGATTACAACTTAACTTATATGTATTACAATCCTAATTAGGGTATCCTGAAGGCACGTGCTAATCTATACTCACGCTCCAACAACCCTAATTATTCGCTTAGACTCTGACAACTGTCCCATTATCCTCTTGAGTTTGGCATAACTCTTTATACTTTGAATATGAGCCACCTATCCCAACAATGTAATCAATAGAAAAAAAAATTGTATAATTATAAACTCATACACACGTAACCACATAAAACTCAATTTGTTATATATCAGTTAAAAGAGCACCAAAGTAAATTGCGGTCCACAACAACAACAACGTACCAACCAATCATTGTGAAAATTAATAGCCAATTAAGACAAAAATCAAATCAGAATAGATCAAAGTATATGTTTCAAACTACCTAAATCGTAAGTAAATTTGGGATTTAACTTACAATTTGGGGAAAAAGCTTTGGGTAACGTGTGATTCTGGTATTCCTTGGGTTATAGCATTGAAGCATCCAAAGTATTGTGTGAGAAAGAGAGATATAGAGAGAGTGGAATTGCCCATTCGGTGCTCACTTGCCTTTCGAATGAAGACGACATCCTATCTACCGAATTGGGATTCACTGTCATGTTCATGCTGGAACTCCACTTGCCTTTCCAAAGGAGGACTTTTGGACTCGTGGCGAATAACTAAATTCGAGATTCGTGCAATTACGTTCTAACTATGAACATTGAGCCGACCAATGCATTTATTTCGAAGCTCAAATTTAACAATTCGAGATATTAACTAATAAAATTTTATCATCTAAACTATCCTAATTAGTTGGTCGAGAGGAATTAAGTGGGATGTTTGGTGAATTAAGGTTGGGCACTATGCTAAAAATCTCTAATATGCTTTATAAGTTGGTGAGATGTACAAATCATTCTCCCCTATGCACCTAAATTAGAGGTAGATAGATGATAATCGACAACTCCTTCCAATCATACACTCGTAATTTGGACTCGTGGTTAGAAAGTAAACTTGAGATTCGTGCCTAACCACTGACGATGTATATGCGGAAATGTCTGCCATATACCTACACTCGTTTCATAGAAAAAAACAAATCAATTGTTGAAGTCAAGCTCAGCACACCATGTGTTCCCCTTTTTGCCTACCTTGAGCTTTGCTGCTACAAAAAAGTGTAAAGCTTTTTAAGTGATGAGCTATTTCCCACAATCCCTTTTGGAGAATATCCCCTTGATTTTGCTGTTTATCCAAATACAATAAGTTTAGACATATATTTGAAACCTTTTCTCTATTAGACATACATGGGATCTTGCTAGGTCTTTGGAAAAGTTTTTAAAAAAAAGTACTCGCTAGTGCTCTATCTGGGTGGGGTTAAGAAGTTTCAGGACCTATAAGTCTTGTTGCCTCAGTGAGTGGTTGTTACAGCTTGAGTAAGGACTACATCAACTTTATTTTGATCAGAACTTTGGTGGAAGTTTTAACTTCATGCATGAGAGAGAGAGAGAGATGCTATTTGTACCTAATTTGTATCCTCTGAGATGTTGTAAGTTCGTTTCAAAAAAAAAAAAAAAGATGTTGCAAGGACTGCTACAAATTAAATGCAATTAATTTTTCTAGGTATACACCTAACAGGAACAGCAAATTTGTCCTATGTTTTTGGCTGGTAGTGTTAGTCATGAAAATTCAGTATGAGTTATTTAGGTCACACAGCTCAGGGTAGGGATGATTCAAATGAACCTAAAAAACGAACACACTCCTGGTTTTAAAATTTTATGTAAAATATGATTACAAACACTACATGTACATGCATGGGCGTTGATATAAGTTCCGAGTTTGTCATCGTGGCCTTGTAACTCTTGAGATTAATCAATACACTTGGTTCATAAGAGAATGCGTACATCCCGAGTTTATATTGTTATTATGAATTCAAAAAACACGTAATTTAGTAATGCAAATTAGTAATAGCACAAAGTCGAAATTGATTCTTAATCTTAAGGCGATTCCAAAGGCAGATACCAATTTTTACCCTTGTTTTCAACATGTTCTTTCTGAGCCATGAAAATCTGTAAGATCCACACCATGATTTGCTGGATTTTGTGCCCTTGATGCTTGCATATAATAACTATCATCCATGGCAGTAAATAGGTTTATAGTTCATGGGTCTCAAGATTCTGCATAATTTCATTAAAAAACCAAAACAAATCAATCATAATAATAAATATTCTGACAGAATAAATAAATAATCAGATCAAAATTTTGCCAAGTCTCATAAAAATTGGCCAGTGACATTGCTGAAATTCATCAAGGTACAAGGAAAGAAAGTAAGAAAAAGAAAGCTTAGTCGGAATAGAGTGGATGAAAAAATTTGCAGACTACACACCTCACAATAACTTCTCATCCCCAAGTCGTTTCCATTTATTCCATTTTCAGTCATCGTGATTTTCTTACATATTTGGATCCCCATACGTATCCCTCAATGCCTACAACTCAACCACAAAAACCAGCACCAGTTGCTTTTCTACTAGCTATAACGTATGTCAATGGAACTGATCCCATAGGGGACTACTGCATGCATGATGGTTTAATTCGAGCGAGAATGAATAGGAACGAAAGAACAAAAGTCTTTTCAGAATCGATACCGAGAGTGAGTCTGAATTTCCCATTTACCACTTGGACCACATTACCAGGAACACATGCATTGCTGTACTAGTATCCAGGCCACCACAAAACCTCCAAAATTTTCCACTTACTCACCATCCATCAGGAATAATTAATCCTTATTATATAGTTATTTGACCAAAAGTGCATTCTGATATCAATAATCTCAAGATAATTCCCGCATGGTATCAAATCCTTCAAGCAGTATGCAGGGTATAATTAGATTTGTTCCCACATGAATCGGTCGTTTCATACCTAAAAAAGTTGATCACAATCCAAATAAAAACACAAAGATCACGCAATTATTGCCGGTGAATCTCATTCTTCAATTTCCATGTGATTACAATCCTCAATAGTCAAAACAACTAGCAATACAACAAGAAAGGAATATGCTCCTGCCAATTCTGATTCTCATTTTTTTTTTCAATAGTCAGGTGTATTCGAATTAGTTTACACATATCTTGACTAATTTTTTTACCGCTCCGATCAAAGGCAGATCATTCACATCAACACTAGGGTATTCATGAGAGATAAATCGCTCTTATCCAGACTCCAAGGAGTTACCAAAATTCGAATTTAGGACGTCTGACTTTACAACTCGGCTCTATTACCAATTGAGCTACCTCGAGGTTCCATTCTCATGTTTTATATGAAATCATTTGGATTCCACTAAAACAAGTGGAAAAAAATTAAACAGGAAAAGAAATTGATACTGACAGCCATTTGTGTAGAATCTACACTTCCAAAACTGAGATTTACCATGGAAGAAACAAACCAATCTGCCAAAAAAAAAAAACCCGAGATAGACAATACTCGCCGGATGCTTAACCATACAGCCACTGAATTACACTATTTGGGATTGGAAACAAATATTGTGAAGAAGTTTCACATTCTAAACTCTTTATAGAATTCTATTCTCTTTCTTTGCCATCTTTGAAAATGACTACTGCAGTCAAACTAATCAAAAATGAAGGCTATTTCGACATTATTAGCAATATGGACTAAGAAATTTGGCCACCAAACCAAAACCCTACAATGGTTTCATATTCTTCACTACCTAATCAAGACTAAACCTAAAATAAATAATCATCCCCATATAACGACGATTCAAGCGTGAAACTCCATTATCCACACATTTTTCTCCATATATTCCACTAAGCTGAACCTTTTTTGACAAGGAAAAGAGTTTTGATCTCACTATTATGAGTGGCAAGACTCTTTTACCGAAAAATCCCGGGTTATGAAAATCAGTTGCACATTCAAAGAATTTAATCACAAAACAGGAACACTAAAATGCAAACAAAGATCAACAAACCAAATTTCTACTTATTATTTCAAGGTAGAAAACCTCAAAGGTTTACATTTATTCATGAGGTGCAATTCGAATGACCTCGACTCAAACCTAAAACGAAAACATAGGAAACAAAGACACCAACAACAAACTTGAAAACCAAATTAGGATTCTAAACAGTAAACACCAATGAAAACGTTCCCATAATCCATTTCAATTCAATGCGAAGATATCTTAGGATTCAGAGACTTATTGAACCATGCTTTCCAGCTGCTAGACCCTTTTCTAACCAAAGGAGTGGCCGCCGATTTTCCTTCATCAACAGCATTTTCTGTCTGTGGCTTCTTGCACAGCATAAAATTCCGAACCCCCATCGACCCAATTGTCTCCCAAGGACTCAGAGCTGCCACCAAAACGAACAAATCAATCCATTTAAAAATCAACACATGACAACCCACATAAAATTGTGTCAATAGCTAAATAAATTGCATGACTCAATTGGACAATTCAACGAAAAAACCTCAATTATAGCATAAAAAGGTAAAAAATTTATAGAAAACAGAGGATAAATTCAATGATATTCAATTTATTACCTTCAGTTCCGGCATGGGGACAATAGAGAACAAATTTGTTGAGATCAGAGCCGAGAATCGGAAGGCGACCCTCACGAGCGTATGATTTCAAGGCAGTATCAATCACAGCAGCAACAAGCTCCTCCTCATTAACCACAAATCGGATCGGGCCTGCGCTTCCTAGCACGTTGATGCTAATCAAGAGCCTGTTGCCCTTACCAGCCTGGTTTTTCTTCTGCTTGTAAAGCAACATCTTTGAAAATCAAATTTTCTTGTTATTTTGTTTAATTTTTTTTCTGATTTTTATGCCCCAAAATGAATAATTAACAGAAAAAATTGAGATTTGATGGAGTAACACAAGGCGGTCGAAGGCAATGGTGGTGGTATGGATTCAGGGGTCGACGCCGAGGCAGCGGTAGTACCAGCCTTCCTTGCAAGATCCAAAGCAGAAAGAGGACGACACAGAAATCCCCCTTCTCGGGTTAGAGGGGGAGATCATTAACCAATTCCTCAAGATTTCCACCATTCACAATGGAATTGCGTGTGTGTGTGTGGATGAGAGAGATAGAGAGGGAGAGGGAGAGGGAGAGGGAGAGGGAGAGAGAGGGAAAGAGAAATCGCCAGATGGATATGGGAGAGGAGAGAGAGAGAAGAGATGGGTAAAGAGAGATAGGTGTTGCCCGTGGCATTTATAAAGAATATTTCAGGCAAAAGTGTTATTGGGGGGTGCTAGGGTTTGCTCTTAGGAGTTGCGAAGAGTTCTGGTAAATTCTACCGACCCCTATCGAATCTCTCTCTCACTGACCCGTTTGCCAACTCCCTTCCCTTCTCACATCTCTCCTGTATTGGATTGTTAATTTAAGAGGGATATTTTGGGTGACTTTATAATTTCTTTTCTTTGAATCTTCTTAATTTCTAATTTTATCAATTTCAAAAAAAAAAATTGAAAAATATAAGAAAATATTTGTTAAATTTTGCTAAATACATGGATTTGAACAAGAGTAATGTTATATTGATTTAAAAATTAGACTTGATAATCACATTCGTTGAATTAGTATTGGATTCTAATAAATATTGGGACCCATAATAAAATTAATAATTTTGATTATCAAATCTAATTTTTAAATTTAATTTAAATTCATGTAGCACTGCACTTTGAAGAAACCCCAAAGAGGATTTAAATCTATTTTTGGGTTGTAATATCAAATATAGCAACTTCAGGCATTAGATAATGGTTGAATTGCATAAATGCTCCTTGAATTGCATATATTGCATTTTGAACTGTATAATTTATTTGAAAGGACCCATTCTGTTAAAACTAATGGTTAAATGAGACAGGTTTTGTTAAGATTAACCATTGAATAACATAAATTTTGTTAAGATTAATTGTTAATTTATTTCATTTAATTGCTAATTTAACAGAAGAGGTCGATTTAAATAAATTACATAGTTTAGGGTGAAAATTGAGATAATTAAAAATTTAAAGGACAATTTAAAACAAAGGCCATAGTATAGGGGGCATTTTTGAGATTTACCAGTTGACAATTTAGCTTGCAATTATAATTTAACCCTTAATCTGTTGTTTTAGCTTTGTATCTACTTTCACCAATAATTGCATGGAAAACCTTTCTTTTTTATGAATCTATTATGATTTAGTGCTTAATCTCTTGTTTTAGCTTCTTTATCTGCATTCATTGAGAATAAAACCTTTCAATAGTTGCCATCCTTTGTCATTTTTTTCCAAATAGAGTGAACAATACAACACATTATAGAGGTACGCAACTTTACTCCGCATGCGAAAACATGTCAAGCCATGCCCTCTAATTGTAATAATGACTTTTTTTTTTTTTTTTTTTATCCTAGTAATAATGAATCTTCACTAGAAAGAAATAGCAATAGCTGGAAAAAAAGGTATCTATTCATGTTCAAAAGAGATATCATAAACTTTATCTTTATTATTAGTTACCTAACATAATCGTTCTTCTTTAATTGAGTTTACAATCGACAGTATGAAAGATAAATACTAAAACATTGTATGTAGAATCAATTTTTCAATATGAGTAATGCTAGATAGACTTAAAAATTAGACTCGATAATTTCAACCATTTAATAGATAGTGGGTCCTAATAAATGCTGGGATCTACAGTGAAATCAATGGTTGAGATTATCAAGTCTAGTTTTTAAGTCTATTTTTTAAGTCCATAGAGCGAGATGTCCTTTAATACCTTTTTTTCAATTTTATTAAAAAATATATATATATGGTTGGAGGATCCTATTATTGAATAGTGGATCCTATATTATAATTAATAAATAGGTATATCCTTCTATAAAATAGTGGGTCTTATGACACATTATATATATAGCTAGGTCCAAAATGAGTATGAACAATTGATGTATTAAACCATTTGCCACTCCTGCCCTTTATCAATGCAATTTTAATCAAATGTGGTGGACGGGGTGTTAAATGTTGATTTGGCATCTTAAGAAAGAATCAAGTACAGTGGCTAAGCCTTTAGTTCTTCGGGAAACATATCCTTAAATTAATTTGAGTTATGGTGGTTTATCTCAGAGTTTGATAGAGTAATCGACGCGAACTTAGACACATTCTAATCAAAAATTTTAAAAAATTGATATGGCAACTTAAGAAAGAATTAAGTACAGCGAATAAGGGGTACTAATTCCATCCTAAGACACATGTACACCAATTAATACCAACTATAAATGAATTGTTCTAGTATTAGACATGAATAATTCATTTAGTTTTACAATAGAAATGAATAAATGAATAATTCTTTATGAATTGTTTTAGAATCAAAATGATTTTTCATTTAAAATTTTAATATCTAAGAGATTAACGTTTGGTGGTTTTATTGAAAGATAAAAAGGTGCTAGTATACTTTCCGAAAAAATAAAGGTGCTAGTATGTGATTTTGAATTCACAATTGGTACATATATAACATGAATTTAAAATGACAAAATATAATAGGGAAAATTTCATCTATACCCCCTCTAAATAGGCCTATCTTCAACGACACCCTCTGTCAGTGTTGATCAACTAACAGACGTACACTTTTTACCATTTTACCCATAAATTTTATAAATATTTACGTATTCACCAATTATTTTCATTAAACTATATAAATAGATATTACCTTGTTTGGTCCTCACTGTGCATTGAAGTTAATAATTATATAAATAGTTATTACCCACTTATTACCTTGTTTGATTGGCGTTTTATGTACAATATTATTTTTCGGGTTACAATATTGACCCGGTTTGTACAGTAATTTTTATCTCTTGTGCATGACTTTAATGAATACTACCTACCAGGTAATATTATTTGTTGGTATAAATCCACTAATGGTACAAATAAGAAAAATGACATAAATACTCTCCTATGTAGAATTCACTTATAAAAATTTTATTTTGAATTTTTTTGTTGTATTATGTTTAAGTTTATAGTGTCACCAAATTTTGTTAAAAATTTTTAAAAAAATTATTTTGAATTTTTTCCTTATATTATATTTAAGCATACGATGTCATCGGTTTTAAATTTTTTTTTTTAAAAAAAATAATATTTTTTTGAATTTTTTTTTGTATTATGATTAAGCGTACATTGTCACCAGTTTTTTTTTTTTTAAATTTAAAAAAAAAATTATTTTGAATTTTTTCTTTATGTTATGTTTAATCGTACGATGTCACTGACTTTTTTTAAAAAAAAAAATTTTAAAAATTATTTTAAATTTTTTTCTTATATTATGTTTAAGCGTACGGTGTCACCGATTTTTTTCATTTTTTTTTAAAACAAAAAATTATTTTGAATTTTTTAATTATATTATGTTTAAGCGTACAATGTCATCAGTTTTTTTTTTTTTTTTTTTTTTTAAAAAAAATTGTTTTTGAATTTTTTTCTTGTATTATGTTTAAGCGTACAGTGTCCCCAATTTTTTTTTTTTAATTTTTTTTTATGGTATCACCAATTCATATCATTAGATTTTTTATGTGAATTTTTTATATTATTATTCACGAATTCTTTCTAACACCAGTGGGTTGGGTTCATTGCCACGTTATTTTTGCAATTAGGTGTTTGGGTTGTTGAGCCATGAGAGAAAGGGGGTGAAGGTCTCGTGGGAAATAAGAAGGGTAAAATTGATATTTAATAAAAATTTTGGTATGACATCAGTACTTTTCTGATGATCAATAACGGTTGGTTATAGTAGAGGATCTAGGTGAAGAGGACATATAAATTAAAAGAAAGTGCAGTGAAATTTCAGAAAAGACAAGACAGGGGTGTTTTTGAAGATAGACCTATTGAAAGGAGGTGTAAATGAAAATTTTCCAATATAATAAATAAATAAATAATTCGTGTGTACCAACCATCGTTGCTTGTCGTTAATCACGACAATTGTATGCAAGCATTATTATTCTTATTAAACTATTTATCAAATTTTGTATACCTAATTAGTACAGGTGGTTGGGTTAATATGTTTCACTCACTTCCACTAAACGATCAATGTATGTGATTGTATTTATTGTATGTATGGGTGTCAAAATATGATAAAACCCGTTAACCTGATACGAACATGACATGAAGTTTGAAGATTTTGATTTTCTTTAAGTCACTTGTTTCGTAAACAAGTGGATCCGACATAATACGATTAATAAATAAATCGAATATGAGTGAAACTAATCAAAAAAAAAAAATACACGACACGATTCGTTTATATACCTGTTATGCACGAATGACACATAACACGAATTCAATACGATACTACTCGTTAGACATAAATTAATAAATAAATTAGGTATGAGTGGAGCAAGGGCGGTTCAAGGTAATTTGACGCCTAAAGAGGAAACACTAAATGAGGCTTTTTTTTAATTTTAATATTATTTTTTTTAAAGATTATTTATTTTTAATTTTTTTTATGAGAGAAAGAGAGAGAAAGAATAATGTACTAGTGTTGCCGAGAAAGATGTTTCAATTTTTACTTTTATTTTTTTACGAGTTTAATTTCAACTTTTGTTTATGTTTTTCACTTTTTTTACTGGAGAGAGAGAAAATGGGTGGGGGTAAATATAAATTGATTTTTGAATATTTTTTTTATTGTTTTAACTTTTGAATTTTAGATTTTAAATATTATATGGACGAGTTCCAAAACTACAAAAGATATGGAGCGGATGTTTCCGCATATCTCGATTAATTTTTTTATCGGTCCGATCAAAGGCAGATCAAAATTTTGGACTATGGGCCCA